ATGATGATGATGCTGCTGCTGCTGATGATGCTTATTCAGATGATGATGATGATGATGATGATGATGATGATGATGATGATGATGATGATGATGATGATGCTGATGCTGATGCTGATGCTGATGATGCTGATGATGATGATGCTGATGATGACGATGATGCTTATTATGATGATGATGCTGATGCTGATGATGCTGCATGATGATGATGATGAGGATGACGATGATGATGCTGCTGCTGATGATGATGCTGATGATGATGATGATGACTGATGATGATGATGTGATGATGATGATGTGATGATTGATGATGATGATGATGATGATGATGATGATGATGATGATGATGATGATCAGCGTCGGGGACTCTTGGTGGAGGGGGCGGGGAGGGACGTACGCAGGTTCGTGTGGCGGCGTCGACGCGGCGGCGACCCCTGCTCCTCCTCCTCCTCCTCCCCCCCCTTCCTCCCTCCTCCTCCTCCCTCCTCCTCCTCCTCCTCCTCCTCCTCCTCCTCCTCCCTTCCTCCTCCTCCTTCTCCTCCTCCTCCTCCTCTTCCTCCTCCTCTTCCTCCTCCTGCTCCTCTTTCTCCTCCTCCTCCTCCTCGCACGGGTCTTCGAGGTCGAACCCCGCCGGCGACCCGGAACCGGCCGATGTCGAAGTGCCTGCGCCATCGGGCAGCCGCGGCTAGCCACGTGGTGTCAGAGACCAACGCCTGGGTCATGGCCGCGCAAACATGCCGTAGGTCATCCGCAGTCGGCGGCGAGCGGGGGGGGGGGAAGTCAGGAGGGGCGGGCCTTCTCAGAAGGCTCGGAAATCACCCCGCCTTCTGAGAAGCTTCCTGAGCCTCCCCCGAAGACACGGAGAACCTCTCGGAAGGCGCGAGGTCTTCTGAGAAGTCCCGCCGCCTTCTGAGAAGCCCTTCTCCTTATCATTTCCCCTCCTTGCTCGCCGCCGAAAGGGTGGAGGGGACGGGGGAGAGGGGACGACTCGGACCCTGGCGCCGCCGTGATCCCACTCACGGCGTCGAGCCCCCAGAGACCTCGACCACTTCCCCGGGGCCAGGCTTTGGTCCCGAGCCATTTCTGGACCGTCCCGGGGGCCCGGAGGGGGACTCCCCGGAGGCCGAAGACGGCGAGAAGCCGTCCGCGGTGGCCTCTCACGGCGCGAGGGGGTTGGGGGAGGGAGAGGCTGCGCTACGCCACGCCAATCTAGAACTCGGGGGGGAAGTCTTGGCCAGTGCCTCCGGCACCTGGGCGTCTGTGCGTTCGTCATGCACGGGGACTGCTGCTCGGGCAGGCAGGAGTGAGAGCAGGGGGGGGGAGGTGCAGGGGGGAGCAGGAGGGATACATGCAGACGCCGTGCACGTCTTGGTGCGTTGGCAGAACGAGGGGTGAAACGGAAACTATGGGATGAAACAGCGAGCACGCTCAGCTTGGAGGAGGAGGAGGAGGTGGAGGAGGAGGAGGAGGAGGAGGAGGAGGAGGGGAGGTGGAGGAGGAGTAGGAGGAGGAGGAGGAGGAGGAGGAGGAGGAGGAGGTGGAGGAGGAGAGGGAGAAGGAGGAGGAGGAGGAGGAGGCGGTGGAGGAGGAGGAGGAGGAACAGGAGGAGGAGGAGGGGAGGAGGAGGAGGAGGAGGAGGATGATGAGGGGAGGTGGAGGAGGAGAGGGAGAAGGAGGAGGAGGCGGAGGCGGAGGCGGAGGCGGAGGAGGAGGAGGAGGATGAGGAGGAGTAGGAGGAGGGGGAGGAGGAGGAGGAGGGGGAGGAGGAGGAGGAGGAGGATGATGATGATGAGGAGGAAGAGGAGGGACGAAAAGGAGGGCAGGAGGGAGCAGAAGTGCAGGGCAGGCGGGAGAGGGGAGAAGGCGGGAGAGAGGAGTGCGGGGAGGGGCGCGGCGGGGCGAGGGCCAGGGTCCCGCCGCAGCCTGCGCAGGCCGAGGTCGCCCCTTCGGAAGGGCGGGGAGAGAGCTCGCTGCCCCAAGGGGGAGGGGCGCGCGGTGCCTCGAGCGCTGCCAGGTGAGGGGGACGGGTGCCAGCCTGGGGCATTCAGTCTGCGAGCGATATACTGGAAGCAGAACCTCGCACTTTTCAACGGGCCGTCGTTTTCCTATTCGCTGCTTCGCCGGTCGGCGCGGGCCCTGGCACACCCCTCCTATCCCCTCCCCCCCCCATGGAGTAGAGTTTGGCTGTTTTTGGCGCCCGTTTCGAGCAGGTGGAGCCCTTCCCCCATACTGGACGCACTGCTGCAAACAGCCGCACTAAGCGCCCCCTTTCCGCCCTAGTGTCGAACCGCCGAGTCAGAACGCGCTTTCCTTTTCAAATGGATGTATGTGCACACAGATCGGATCAGAGACAACCACAGTCAGTCTCATCGCGCAGTGCACGCACGCCGAGCCGACGTGGGCCAGACACTTTGAGCCAAAATTCTGCGGCGCTGGGCTCGCGCCTGGGCGGCGGCCCTCCGCGCTCGAACCACTTTGAGATTGTCCTACCCCTGATTTTAAGTCGGGCCTGGCCCTCTGCAGCAGGAATATTCAAACATAGTAAACAAAACAGTATGGGGACTATTTTTTGAGTATTTTGTTGAGCATTTTGTAGTATTTTTTGGGGTATTTGTTTCCGTCGAAAATCCCCCTGTAGGGGGACACGCCCGACCTAACCCTAATTAAGTATTGTGATGGGTGAGGGTGGGATGGGCCTCAAAATCTTCACACACCGGATAAAAGTACACACCAGGCGGCTCCCCACGGTTGCCTCAAGCGGTCTCGCGCGGCTTCGGAGTGTTTCAAGGTGGCACGAAGCCTTCGGCGCCGAGTACATCCGTGCGTCTCACAAGGTCTCGCACTGCCACGAAACCGACGGCGCCGAGCGCATCCGCGCGCTGCAGAAGGTCTCGAAGTGCCACGAAGCCTTCGGCGCCGAGCAGATGCGCGCGTTTCACATGCTCTCAAAATGCCATGAAACTCTCGGCGCCGAGCACACCCCTGCGTCTCACATGGTCTCAAAGTGCCACGAAACAAACCCTTGGCGCCGAGCGCATCCACGCGTCTCACAATGTCTTCACGTGCCGCGCAAAGTCTTGGCGCCGAGCACATCCGCGCGTCTCACACGGTCCAAAAGTGTTACGAAACCGAGATTACCCGCGCGCCTCGCAAGGTTCCAACTTGTTGCCGCGACTTCCTCCGCGCCGAGCGCCTCCGCGCGTCTCACATGGTCTCAAAGTGCAACGAGACCTCGGCGCCGAGCATGAATGGGGCTGGGGAAGGTCAGTAGCCTGGCCGTAGAATTTCCCGTCCAGACACGTACTCGTTCAACGCAACACCCCGACATTATGGCCAACGCGGCGGCGAGACCACCATTCCGGCGTCAATGCGCAAACACACAATAACGCAAGCACGCAATCATGCGTCATGCAGGAATTGTGACGCCGAGTGAGCAGAGTTCTGCCCATTGGAACCCTGATGACGACGCCGCAGAGAGCGCGGCCGACGAGACGAGCGCGGGATCCACTCCCAATCATTCGCGCTTGGACTGTAAGCCCAGGATGTCGCCCATCGACATGGTGTTGGGACGCCAAAGGCAGACAATATCGCTCGCATCTGGATGAAGACGCCGCGGAAAAAAAAGCGCGGCCTGGAAGCGAGCGTGGAATCCGTTTCCAAGCAATTCTTCTCGGACTATCCCTGTCCCTGACATTGTCGTCGCCTTGGGGCCGTCAATCTAAGGCATGGGGATTAGCTCGAGGTTGGTTAAAGGTGTCCACGTAGTACGCGGTCCTCTTCTCTCTCCTCCTCTTCCCCTCCCTCCTTTTCTTCTTCCTCCTGCCAGGGGGGGCCTCAGTGAGCCCAGAGGTTTCTTGGATACCCCTCGGAGTCTCTTGGGCTGTCTCTCGGGGTTCGATTGAAGTCCTCTTGGGGCGCCTTGGGGGCTTGGCGGCTCTTGGGGGCGCCTTGGGAGCCTCTTGGAGGCCTCTCGGGACGTCTTGGGGGCCTCTTGGCGGTCTTCAGAGCCTCTTGGGGCGTGTTGGGTGCCTCTTCGGGGCCTCTTGGGGCTTCTGGGGGGCCGCTCGGGGGCCTCCTGGAAGCCTCCTGGGGGTCTGTGGGCCTCCTGGGGCCTCTCGGGTGCCCCGTCGTTTTTTTTTTTGTCGACTCCCCCTCGGAGGGCCTTTCTTTATCAGGTAGGCTTTGACGAGTTCAGTCTGGAAAATGATCTCAAACCGGCTTTGGAGAGGGTTTTTTCTTTCAACGATGCGTGCGGCGAAGGGGTGGGGGCGGCCCTCGAACACACTAGAAACAATCAACACGCACCAGGCAGCAACAACGCATCCTAACACTCATGTTCCTTTTCAAAGTGGGGGCTCTCGCCCGACAAGTTGTACCTTGTGCAATAGTGCCACATCTTTCCTTGAGAATTATAACCGTGAGAAGTTGTGTCTCTTGATTCAAAGCTCATGGTCAGAAGTGTTACCTGGTGCAACAGTTTCACATATTGGGGCGGGACTTTTCAAGTAGGAACCTGTCTGGATACCTGGTTGGGCTGTGTGCTCATACCTTCTCGCATTCCATTGAGGCAATTCCTTTTCAAAATGGGGCTTTCTCCTGAACGTGGACGCTTCCTGTGGACGCTTCCTGTCATGAAAAGGACGCTTCATGTCATGAAAAGGAAGACTTGCATGAACTCACGAGGATGTGACTTGGGACGGGAGGGTCTATTGCAGCATCGTTGATGCATTTTGGGTCTGTTCTGGTCCTCCTCCTCCTGCTCCTCCTCCCCCTGTCGTCGTCGTTCGTCGTCGTCGTCGTCGTCGTCGTCGTCGTCGTCGTCGTCGGAGTCGTCCTCCTCCTGTCCCTCCTCTCCCTCCTCCTCGTCCTCCTCGCTCCTTCTCCTTCTCCCCCTCCTCGTCGTCCTCCTTCTCCTCGATCCCCTTCCTCGTTCTCCTCGCTCCTCCTCCTCGTTCTTCAGGCTGTCACCCCCTTCCCACCTGGCGGCGCTCCCTTTGGGGGCCATGAGCTGGCCGGGCGGCATGCAGATGCCCAACGCCCGGCAGCAGATGGAGATGGCAGGCGCCGCGAGCGCCGCGTCCAGGAGCCTGGGCAACATGGGCAGCCTCGTTGGCGACTACATCCGAGCACCCCCAAGTTCGGTCCCTCTCCTCTCCCTCCTCGTCATTCTCCTTCCTCTACTCGCCCTCCCACTACTCCTGCTCCCCCACCGCTTCCTCCTCCCTCTCTTCCTCTTCCCACTTCCCCCTCCTCCGCCTCCACCTCTTTCTCCCTCCCCCTCCCCCTCATCCTCCCCCACCTTGGCCTCCCACTCCCCCCCTCGCCCTCACCCTATCCCCCTCTTCATCCCCCTCCTCCCTCCCCCTCCTCTCCCCTCCTCTCCCTTCACCACCACCTCTTCCGTTTGCACTTGCTCAGTTTGAGCATGATTTGAGACATGCGGAGGAGGAGTAGGGAGGAGCACGGGACCCAGTGGTTGCAGTGTGCTGCCTCGCCCGACGGACTGTGTCATCGACTGTGACCCCTTGTTCTTTACCATCGGTCCGCTGTGGAAAGACACATCTTCTATGTGAATGCTAATCTTAAGTCGGGCCTGTCCCTCCACAGGAGTAAAATTCAAAAATAGTTAAACAATAGCCTGGGCACGATTATTCTATCACTTGTACAATGTTGGGATATTCTTGACTATTTTTCATTTTTCGTCCAAAGTCCGCCTGTAGGAGGACATGCCCGACGTGATACTAATCTCCTCTCTCCCCGGATTCTCCCTGAGCGGGGCCCCTTTGTCTCCCGCACAGTTTTGTTTCTTCAGCGCAGGAAAGATCAAACGTGCTTTTTTCTTCAAATGTTCAGTTTTGCCAGCTAGGACATCTTCGGTCTTTCAAAAGGCTGCCCCCGCTACAGCCTTGACCACATTTCAGGATCGGCGCTTTGCCCCCGTTGTTCAGAGTGGCGCTCTCGCCCCAGGGCGCGCACCGTTTCTGTATCCGACTCCTTTCTCGTTGCCTTTCACCTCAGCCTTCCCCTGGTTCTCCTGTTCCTCCCGCTCCTCCTACGCCTTCGTGCTGCTGCGGCTCCTCCTCCTCCCCCTCCTCCTTCTCCTCCTCCTCCTCCTCCTTCCTCCTTTCTCCTTCCTCCTTCCTCCTTCCTCCTTCCTCCTTCCTCCTTCCTTCTTCCTCTTCTTCCTTCGTCTTCCTCCTCTTCCTCCTCTTCATCCTGCTCATCCTCCTACTCTTCCTCCTGCTCCTCCGCCACCTCCTCCTTCTAGCATGTGCACACTGCTCCCCTCTTTTGATTACGCTAAACACGATGTGGTCATTTTTGGAGTGTCAAGGTCACTATGACACCCGCTGGTGGATAGAGAACCAGCGGCGCTACGGGAAGGGGTTGGTGTGTGTGTGTGTGGGGGAGGCAGGAAGTCAGATATGGCGCGAGCGTGCCCATCTTGCGTTCTCCCCTCTCCCCTCCCCCTCCTTTTCCACATCCACCTCGTCCTCCTCTCCCCCCTGACCCCCCCTCCCTCTCCCTTCCCCTTTTTTTCCTCCCTCCTCCTCGTCTGCCCTCCGTCCTCCTGCCTCGCCCTTCCACTCCTCCCGCTCCCTCCACTCCTCCCTCTCCTCCTCTCCTTCTCTCCTCCCACCTTCCCTCCTCTGTGCTCCCTCGTTCATCCATCATCCCTCCCTTCTCCCCCTCCTCCTCCCTCCTCCCTCTCACCTCCTCCTCCCTCCTCCCGTCTTCCCACCTCCTCTTCTCGCCCCCCCTCGCGCCCCCCCCCCCCCTTCGCCTCCCCCCCCATCGCCTCCCCCAATCTGCCCGTCTGGTTCCGCCACGTGTTTTCTGCTCTTAGCCCCCCTCCTGCTACTTTCTCTTGTGCTCCATCCTCCTCCCTCCCCCTTGTCCTTTCCTTCCATCCGTCCTCTCTTCCTCTGCCTACTGCACGAAATGCACGTTGCAGGTAAGAAAGATATGTACACCCAAGGGGGTACGATCGAAGACGAAGAGGGCGGGTATCTAGGGTTTGGGATATAAGTGCTGAATGACCCGCGAGCAGATAAGAGCTAACAGTCTTAACAGGATGATTGTTGTTGTTGCTGCTGTTGTTGTTCTTGCTGCTGCTGCTGTTGTTGCTGCTGCTGTTATTGTTGTGCTGATTATGGCTATGCTGTTGCTGATGGTGAGATGAGCTGCTGTTGCTGCCGCTGCTGCTGATGATGCTGATGAGGATGAGGATGATGATGAGGATGCTGATGAGGATTATGGTGATGATGAGGATTGATGATGATACTGATGATGATACTGATGATGCTGCTGCTGATGATGATGTTGATGATGCTGATGATGATGGGAGGATGGGGGAGAAGGAGCAGGATTGATCGGAGGTTGGGGGGTGAGATCGAAGTGGAACGGAGAGCCCCCCTACCGGGAAATCGATTTCGGTTTCGTGTTCGTGCGTGCCGTGCGGGCGAGGCGAAGCTGCGTGGGCGGGCGAGAGAAAGTCTCCTGTGGCTGAGGCGCTGCCGGACTAAATGTCTCCCTTCCGGGCGGCCGGTGGCCCGCCGTGTCCCGCCAGTGTCCCGCTGGTGTCCCGTGTGGCTGAGGCGCGGCCGGACCAAATGTCTCCCTTCCGGGCGGCCGGTGGCCCGCGGTGTCCCGCCGGTGTCCCGCGGTGTCCCGCGGTGTCCCGCGGTGCCCCGCGGTATCCCGCCGGTGTCCCGCGGTGTCCCGCGATGATGATGATGATGATGATGATGATGATGATGATGATGATGATGATGATGATGATGATGATGATGATGATGATGAGACAAGATGATGCTGATGATGATGATGGTGATGCTGATGATGATGATGCTGCTGCTGATGATGATGATGACGTCGATGATGATGATGGTGATGCTGCTGATGATGATGAGGACGATGATGATGATAAAGATGATATGATGATGATGGTGTCCCGATGATGATGATGATGATGATGATGATGATGATGATGATGATGTCGATGATGATGATGATGATGACGATGATGATGATCATGCTGATGGTGTCCCGATGATGAGCATGATGATGATGATCATGATGATTATGTTGATGATCATGATGATGACGATGATGGTGTCCCGATGGTGATGAGTATGATGATGTTGATGTTAATGATGCTGATAATGTTTGTGTCCCGATGATGATGATGTTGATGATGATGAGGTTGATGATGATTATGGCGTCCCGATGATGATGATTATTCTGATGGTGATTGTGATGATGTTGATGATGGTGGCGTCCCGATGGTGATGATGATGATGATGATGATGATGATGATGATGATGATGATGATGATGGCGATGATGATGATGTTGATGCTGATGTTATTAATGATGATGATGGTGCCCCGATGACGATGATGATGCTGATGATGATGTTGATGATGCTGATGATGATGTCGATGATGAGGATGAGATGATGATGATGGTGTTCCGATGATGATGATGCTAACGATGGTGATCATGATGGTGTCCCGATGATGATGCTGCTGATGATGATGATGATGACGGTGACTGTGTCCCGATGCTGCTGATGATGATGATGATGATGTTGATGATGCTGATTGTGATGATGATGATGATGATGATGATGATGATGATGATGATGATGATGATAATGGTGGTGTCCCGATGATGTTGATGACCGTGATGACGATGTTGGTGTTGATGATGAGGACGGTGTCCCGATTATGATGATGTTGGTGATGATGATGTTGATGTTGATGTTGTTGTTGATGATGATGATGATGATGACGTTGATTGTGAGAGCGGTTGTGATATCGATAGTGAAATCGATAGTGAGACCGAATGTAATATCGATTGTGAGATCGATTGTGAGATCTTTTGTGAGATCGATAGTCAAATCAATTGTCAGATAGATCGAGTGAGATCGATTGTGAGATCGATCGAGGGAGATCGATCGAGCGAGACCGATACTGAGATCGATAGTGAGATTGATAGTGAGACCGATCGAGTGAAACGTTGGTTCATCTCTCCCCCCGAACCTCCTTATCACCCGAAGGGTGGTCGTATAGGTATGACTTTGATGATGATGATGATGATGATCATGATTATCATTATTATTATTATGATGATGCTGATGACGATGATGGTGATGATGATTATGGTGGTGGTGATGATGATGAGGATGCTGCTGCTGCTGATGATGATGCTGATGCTGATGCTGATGCTGATGCTGCTGCTGCTGCTGATGATGATGATGATGATGATGATGAAGGTGATGATGATGATGATGATGATGATGATGATGATGATGATGATGATGGTGGTGGTGGTGGTGGTGACGATGATGATGATGATGATGATGATGATGAGGATGATGATGATGATGATGATGATGATGATGATGATGATGGTGGTGGTGGTGGTGGTGGTGGTGATGATGATGATGATGATGAGGAGGAGGAGGAGGAGGGGGAGGAGGAGGCGCAGGAGGAGGATGCTGATGATGAGGAGGGGAATGGTGAGGTGAGCAGGAGTTTTGGGAGGTGGGGGAGGAGGAAGAGAGAGAGAGAGAGAGATAGATAGAGAGAGAGAGAGAGAGTAGGGAGTAGAGCTTCCAACATGCTCAGGAGTGGGGTGGATTGGGTGGGGGGGGGGGCAAGAGCTTGTTAGGGATTCTAACTAGTGGATTCTCCGGGCCAGGGTGGGGGAGGAGGCGATAATAGAGGGAATATCTCCCCCTCTCCCTTGTCCTGCTTTCTCTCTCTCTCTCTCGCTCTTTTTTTTTTTGTTTCTCTCTCTCTCTCTCTTTCTTTTACTCCTTGAACCGACTTTGGGGTTGCTCCACATCAGCAGGGGCCCTCAGGGGGTAACCTGGCTATGCTTTGTCGGCGGCTTGGCGAATATCGTATACAACCTGCTCACCCTCATCGACATCTTCGATGTGCTCAGCGAGCCCATCACGTACGCGGTGTGCGTGTACCAGATGATGTTTGGGCTGTGCACCTGTATGATAGAGGCGCCGAAGGAATGGGAACGGAATCCGAAGCTGCAGTCGACTCAAAAGTTCATCCACGACCACGCCAGGTTCCTCACAACCGCTGGCGGGCGCGGCCTCTTCTACCTCTTCCAGGCGTCCCTCCTGCTCTCGGTGGACGGAGGTATCATGCCAACGGTGCTGGGGCTCTACATGCTCGGAATCGGGGTGCTGTGCATTGCAATGCAGGGCGGATTCCTCACGGATTCGCCCGCACACCAGGACTATCTCCAAGTCACCGGCACTGGCAGCTAGCGGGCATCGGCACGCGGGCGGGGCCACTGGGCGTAGATGTACAAACCCGTAGGGCCTCGTGCTGCCGACCCCCTCCAGTATCGGGCTTCCCGTTTTTGTCGTAGCTCCTTTTTGCCCAGGCCACCGTGAAGCAGACGGGTCCGGCGGGAAGCGGGTCCTGACGCTTCTGTCGTGTTCGAGATCTTGGGGCCTTCCCCGGGTCCCAGGACTTGTCTCGGGGCGACTCAGGGTTCTTGGCCTCCCAGATGGGATCGGAGTAGGTAGGGTCGGAGGATCGGGCCGCCTCGCCGATGCATCGGCGATGCGGCTCGATGCGGAGCCCGATTTTCTCCACGCCAGCGTCGCCGATGCACCGCCGACGTCGCCGATGCATCGTCGATGCATCGGCGAGATGCATTGGCGATACGGCGCGATCCTCCGACCCCATCTGCTCGGACCCCGTCTGGGATGCCCCTAAGGATGAAGAATTGGTCTTGGGGAAGCCCACTCGGGTCCAGGATTAGGTTGGGCGTGCTCCCCTACAGGCGGATTCTGGACAAAAAATAAGAAATACCCCCAACAATAGTCAAACATATTCAAACATAGTTAAAACATCGTCCCCAGACTATTTTTGTTTATTTTTGAGTATTCCTCCTGTAGAGGGACAGGCCCGACATAAGTCAAGGACCCGTTTCGCTCAGGACCCGTTCTTTTTTACGCCAACCAGGACAGGTCAAAGCTCTTCAAGCCTTGAGGCTCTGCGGCGCTGCGGCTGTGCTTCAGTGTCACGAGCCTCCATTCCAGAGGCCCTACGATCTAGGCTTCCCAGATGGGGTCAGAGAGTAGAAGGGGTCGAAGGATCGTGCCGCATCGCCGATGCATTGACGATACGGCTAGACGTGAAGCCCGATTTTCTCCACGTCGACGTCGCCGATGCATTCCGATGCATCGCCGTTGCATGCCAATGCATCGCCGTTGTTTCGGCGATGCATTGGCGATGCGGCGAGATCTTCCGACCCCATCTACTCGGACCCAATTTGGAAGTCTCCTATACGAGGAGCCGATGACGCTGCCTCGAGGGTTCTCTGTCTCCGACTCCTCCTGCACCTGCGCCCACAGCATAACGAGGGCGTCAGCAAACGGTGCTGATATTATCGCGGAGGCGAGACCTCGACGGCGTCTTCTTCTCCTCGTGGAGCTCTCCACCTTGGTATCCTGAGGTTTCACCGTCGACTCAGTGGCTGCATGTGCAGTCACCAGGCGTCGCCAAAATCGCAGGCCCGTCTTACCACGTACGGCATGTTCTTGTCGTGTCGACGCGGCAGCGACCCAGCCGCGTGCGTTCGTCCAAGATGAAACATCTGGTGGTCGAATAGCCGCCGATCGTTCAAGGTCGAATTATCCTTGCGGTGTCAGAAATCAACGACGGGGTCATCACGACACGAACCTTCAGTACACGCGCATGCGCGTACACGCAAGCACACAAACGTAGACACACACACACACACACACGCATCGACAAGTCTAACACATGGCGCAAGCGCGCACACACGAACACACTTCTTTTTGGGTCGCGGCCCTGCGCGCAGCGACAGGGCGGAGAAGGTCTACGAGCAGGAAGCGCGCGCGCGAACGCACACACGCGCACACACTTCTTTAAGCGAGGACAGCGCGCGTGTCCCGGCCTGGGCGGTGCTGCGTTGCGGGCACAGGCCGCAGCCAATGCACGGCCGCTCTCGCGTCGAGAGGAACACCCGATGCCGGGCAGGCATCCGAGAGGACTCGAGCCGAGCACCCGAGCAGCAGAAGGCCAGGAGCTTGCAGAGCGAGCGCGGCGGCAAGCCGCGGCGGAGCGTACTGCCTCCCAATCGGCCCAGGGCAAGGTGGAGGTGGCCCAGCCTCGGAGGGCCAACTTCCAGATCGCCACACACACGAGCAGCCACGCGCTCCCAAGCTCCGACGCCAGCACGCGCCCCGCGTTTTGCCCCGGCGGCCGACGAGCAAGAGGCGGGCGGGGGGCGGCGCCGGAGGCGCCGCCAGAGCGGCCCAGCGCCGATCCAGGAGATCCGCGGGGAGCTCCGAGAGTTCAAGTTTAGGCTGTTCTTTCTTTCTCCACGGGGCACGGTGGTCTGGCGTGGGGGGACTGGCATGGGGCGAGGCGGTCTCGGTCGCGGTCGAGACTGGCGTGAGGAGACTGGCATATCTGACCCCGAGCCAAGCTTCCAGGT